CAAGCTCGCCAGGGAAGGGTGGGTTTCGGGGTCAGCCTGGGGCTGCGGCCCCCGGTCACCCGAGCTCAGCCTCTCGGCGGGACAGCTGAGAGCGTGGACTATTTATACTAGCCATGGCGAGCTGGCAGCTGGGGAGACGCGCACGGCCCTGTGGCCATATCTGGGCATGACCAAGGGCACATGGGCCTGCCAGGGGGACGGGGCCCAGGCAGCACATCTGCCCTGGGTGTCCTTCAGCCTCGCAAAGTCCCCACAGGCGGCTCGAGACAGGCTCCAGGACAGCTGAAGTTGCTCCTCCCTTCAGTTAAAAATACCCCGGGTCGTTGTCCCACTCTTCCCAGAATCCGTCCTCCATGCATGTGTGCACACACACGCAAGTGTACACGCGCCTGCCAAGCCCAGCCTAGGACTCACAGCTCCTGCCCAGGCCAGGGTTTGTGCTCCAGGGAAGGGACGCCAGGAAGAATGACCTTTCTGCGAAGCGCTCCTGCAGGGGGTCTCCTCTCCCTTGCTGTCTGCCCAGGTGGACTCAGTGATCTGCAAGTACCCAGGCTCTATCTCTCCCGGTACCGCAGTTGCACCCAGCCGGCACGGCCCACTTGGAAAGAGGCAGACCTGGCTGAAGCAACTGTGCCTCTGAAAGCCTGGGGGAGTCGCCCCGGTTTTCCAGCCTCTGCAGAGGCCCTGACTCTTGATCTGAGGAGTTGGCTGCAGGCTGTTGGCGGTGGCCTCTCATCCCTGCCCTTGAGACGCGTGGCCCTGCATGCGCCTGCGGCTGCACTGCAGCACCCAGCAGCATCCGGCAGCAGCCTGCACTGTTCCTGCTGCCGCCACTGCAGCTTCTGCCCTCCCCCCTGCTCGCAGCATGGGCCTGCTCAGGGTCGACTGGCCTGGGACTAGGAGCACCAGCGCAGTCCTCACTGGACACCGAGAGCCCTCCAAGTCCCAAGCGCTGGTCAGCCTGGTCCTGGGCCCAGGAAGGAGCAGACCGGAGCCTCCAAGAGTTGCTGATGTTGCCCCTTCCTTTTCTGCCTGCTCCTGGTGTGATGCAGCCAGGACCCCAGGCACAGGCAGCTGGTGGGCAAGGCCGGGTCTCTCAGAAAACCATGTGCTGAGGTACCCCAGTCACCCTTAGCGGACATTCTGCTCCCAGGCTTGGCCACTCTGAGGAAGTGTCCTGCCCTTGGGCACCAATGGCGGGGAGCCTGGCAGCAGTGTCAGAGGCCTTCAGCAAATGGACATGCACAGCACGGTGAGTGGGCACAAGCTTCTCAGGTTGCTGGCTTACCCTTTATGCTAAGGTGGCAGCAACTGATGCAGTTCCACTGCCCTACCCACCCTCCTGCCCTCCTGGCCCAGCAGGACCCTCCTGGCTAGTAGTATATTTTCCGCCATGCCCTAGCCCTAAAGATTACTCAGCTTCTCTCTTTTGTAATGTAGGGCATAGGGGGGCTGCAATTCAAGCTATGTTTACTTTGACTTGGGCTGCAGCAGCTAAAACACCCATCCTGTGGTCAATCTAATCATACTTAATAGCCACTAATTCTTCAATACGGTGTTTTTCACTTGAGGTCAACAGTTCTAGATGAAACTGCAGAGCACCCCCCTCTATGACTGCTCTTACCAGGCCTGCACCCACTTTGAAATACTCATGCAATAAAATGCTTTATTGCACGTGATGCACTTGGGATCGCTGGCAACCCCCTCTTCAGAAGGGCTGCCACAGTCAACTCGGCCACCTGGCTACAAAAACACAAGGGTGCTCGTCAGACCTGTGCCTGTGCACACCCGGCAGCTCCTGACTGCCCGCAGACTCCCGGGAGGCCCCACTCCCCTCTCAGAATTGGCCTTGCTCACAGGCAGAAGCTGTACCTGGAGCATAGCTGTATTTGTGAGCACAGAACAGAGCATCTCACTCGTTTGCTGGCTGAACTGCGGATCCCCTTGTCCTTGCAGCTACCGTTCCCCAGCAAGGCCCAGACCCAACATCTGAGTGCTATGGTACAAACACTTCCAGAGGGTTCTGGAAAACCCAAGGGCTCCCAAGGGTGCATCCCTGAGCCAGTGAGCACAGGGAAAGGTCGTGAGTTGTCTCATCACAGCTGCGAGCCCACCTGGGTCCCAGAGCTGGCAGGAGCATCCTAAGGGGTTAGGGCATCCCCTCTGACCCCCACCCCCAGGCAGCCTGCTTTCTCCTCCAGAGTTCCCCGTCCCTGGCATCATGTCTGGGTGGTACGGAAAAGTCCTGCGCGGAAGACACAGTGCACTAGTCTGTACCTTCTTCCCATGCAAAGACCCAGTGGCATAAAGTCCTGGGCACCCGCACACCAGGCTGGTGCTGGGCCCCGCTTGTGGAAATACGTGGAGGCTCATGCACAGGACGCTCCAACCCTCGGGTCCTGAGTGTCCCCAAGGGAGCAGCCCGTGGTGACACACGCAGGAAGAGGGGCTTGGGTGTCCAGGGAGGAATGCGAGAGATGCTCATTTTTAATTCAGCAGGTCAAGACCAGAGGTGATTTATAACCAGTAGGCCACAGCTCACTCCCTGCAAACCCTCTAGTTTTACTGCTCAGTCAAACCTAATTCCAAAACACTAATGCTTTTATTTAAACACCACATCCTGCAATAAAGCTCTAATGTACGACAGACACATCTCGCGGAAGTCAGTGGTGTGTCTGTGGCCGCCCATGGCCCCAGCGGCTGCACACCGGGCTACTTCCCTGCCTGTGGCCGGAGCTGGAAGCGTGTAGGGCAGAGATGACCTTCCGGGGGTGCTGGGTACCAACTCCTCTGGGGACACTGCTCAAAAGGGAGGCAGTACCCAAGGACAGTGCTACCTTCTCCTTGCCATGCCCTGCCAACCGCGCCACAGAGCAGAGGTCACGAGCAAACACAGCCTCCGGAAGAAGACTTAGAGATTGGAAAGGGACCTCCACTGTGGAGGCTCCTGGTCAGCCCCTCAGTTAGTCACCTTGAGACTCCCAGGCTGGGGGAGCCTCCCATGAGCTCGACTATCTCGGCTCCTTCGTCCAGGGGATCCTTGGGTTGGCTACCCCCATACCCAACACTGGCAGCAGCTGACGCAGAGGCCCTGCCTGCCCCTCCTGATCACATTGCCACCAAGGTCAGGGGCAGGACGGGCAGCTGCACCTGCCGCACGCAGCCACAGCCATGTTAGGGCTGGAAGGCTGCGCTGACACAGGTGGGGAGAGCAGTCCCAGGCTGTGCAGGGGTGGCATGTGTGGGGAACACCAGCCCAGCCAGGCTGCAGGCAGCCTCCACTCTGAGACCCCGATGCAAACCACACACACCCTTCCATGGCTGCCCGGGCTCCCCAGAGCCCTCTGCCCTTCGTCTGCCCCAAGAAGGTCCAGCCCTGGATTTAAACCTGTCCTCACCGCCTGGGACCCAAAGGGTGCCAGCTCAACCCTTTCTCCTGGTGAAGAGGGCCTGATGCCAAAGCAGGCCAGACAACGGGCTGGAGCAGGAGTCCTAGGCCCCGCACTGGCTTTCTGCAGAAACCTCACCAGCCTTCACCTCAAAAAGTACTTCTAGTTGGAGTCAACGGAAAAGAAAAAGCAAAGTAATGTTGGCTGGCTGCAGGTAAGACAGAATGAGCCCGGAGATTCGGCAAAATCAAACCTCCCCAGGCCTCCGGAATTGCTGCGGGGCCCAGGGATGGGCAGGTTCAGCCCCTTTGTTCCCTTTGTCTTAATCACCGTGGGTGGTCAAGGTGCTGTGGGAGAGGAGGGTCTTGGGACAGCTCCAGGGTTGGCAGTGTCTCCACTCGGGGGCTGCCCGGCCCCTTGCTCCTCCGCCTGGCCGTGTAGCCACAGAGCTCAGATGGCAACCAGGAGGCTTTGCTTCCTCCGAGGCCTCGCCCACGTGGACAAGAGTCGCTTCCCTCCTTTGCACCCCCTCATCTCAGGCCTCCCTTCGGGGAGTCCCTGCTCCTCCCGTACCTCTCACAGTCTCCTGCCCCTGACCACACACGGCCCTGTCGGTGGTCGCATGACCTCTTTGAGGGTGGCTGGAAGTGGATCCCCCAGAGCTACCATCACTGTACATCTCCAAGCCAAGACCCCATGTTCCCCCAGCCCCCGCCAGCCGTACACCGGACCCCACGCCTGCCCGAGGCCATCTCCCCTCTGCCGCAGTCAGCACACTGAATATTTAATGTCTGACGAGCACTTCCACCTGCTGACACAGGCAAAGTGACAGAACAATACCGGCAGGGACACGGATGTCCCGCCGCCAGGCAGCCTCGCCCAGCCCTCGCCTGGCCACAGACTGTGTATTGGTCCCCTGCCCCTGGGCGACTGGCTGAGGACGTGGATGGCCCCTCGGTATGGCGCGAGCGTTCCTGGCCTGAAATACATACTTCTTTACATTCCATAGCTTAGGTCCATATGGGCATATAAAGAAGTATGTTCCCCAAGCAGGTGATTCGGTAGTCAGGCGTGTGGCTTGAGGGGCAGCAGCACCAGCCAACCCCGCTTGGGAGAGAGAAGGCACCTCCAGACCACAGCACTCGCCCAACACCACACCCCAGAGCCCACGCTCTTTCTTCCACCACCAGTGCGCATCTGGTCGTCCCTTCCAGCCCTGCACTCCTGTCCATCGCTCTCACATATGTGTACACACACACACACACACACACACACAGAGTCAAGAGGGGCAGAAGCAGACAGTGCACACCAGAAAGTCTCAAGAATCCAATCACCTTCCTAAACAGTTGCCTAACACTGCCCAGATTTCAGAGGCAGCACCAAGCTCACACTTCTCCAGGTGCCTCGTCCCTGCTAAGGGCAGTGGGGCCGAGGGAAGACAGAAACTCGGGAGCAGCTCCAGCCGCTCACAGGCCAGCACAGGCCTGCCACCCATCAAGGGCCAGTGACCTCCTCCCAGGAGCTGGACAACTCCGCTCTCTGTGCTCGGATGAGGAGCTCCCCATGGTGGAGGTGGCCTAAGAGACCCCAGAAGGGAACCGGGAGCCTTACCTGGGCGCTGACAGCTTCCTGAGCAGGTCCCTGGTGAATTCTGCCTTCCCAGATGAAAATCCCTAGGAGGTGGGCTCGGTGTCTTCCTTGAAGATGTCAGTGAGAAAGTGAGCCGTGGACTCCACATCCCCGGAAGTGGGCTTCTGAGCAGCAGCCACTGAGAGCCCGGCCAGTGAGAGCGCTTCTCTCCAGCCTCCGCCTCCTTTGGCTCCCCCTTCCCCCTCTCCTGCACCCTCCATCCCCTCCTGGCTCTTGGGGCGGCCCCTGTGCCTTGCAGTGCAGCAGGCCTCCCTGAAATGGTGGTGAGCAGACAGCCCACATCAGCACCCAGGGCTCGGCACAGCCATGGCAGCCCTGAGGGGCTAGCCCCTCGCCTGGCCTTTGTGCCCGCCCAGCCTCCACCAGCCCCCATAAGCACCACTTTCACAGGCTACAGTACCAGCCACAGCCTCAGCAGGGCCCGCCTTCCTGGTTCTGAAGTCCCCCTGTGTACACCAGCTTCTAATGTACCCATTAAAGATGGTTTAAGTAAACTTAGCAAGCACCAGCTAAGCGCTTGGGAACCCATAATCATATCAATATTTTCCTATTGCATTTTGAAATTTCTCTGGGAGTGAGATAGAGGATTCTTCCTTCCCTGTTAACTTCCACACCCAGTGAAGAACTGGGAATCTGAAAAATATGAAGGAAGAGGCCAATGGGACCTTACGGTTGGAGAGGCCGCCCTCAGTCTGGAGGAAAAGGAGGCAGAGGAGGAGAAAACCCGAGGGATCTGGAGGTGAGGCCAGCAGGTGAGCCGCTGGAACTTGGGAGGAGAGTGTCCCTTCGGTGCCTGTGTGGGGAGAGTGCCGCGGACGGGCTGCAGCGGGCCGGGCCAGCACAAACAGGATTCGCTGAGTGGGAGGGTCCAGCTGGGCCCCTAGCTCTGGTGTGGGGCTGGAGGGTAGCCCTGGGACCTGAAAGGATGCCCAGTTCTCCCCTGTCAGCAAGATGATGTTCAGCGTGACCTGACTGCCCCATCCCCGTGAGACAACAGCCCAGAGGGTGTCTGGACTCTCCCGTAGCCAGGAAGGGTCGTGTCTCCGCAGAGCCCACAGTGTGCCCGGGCACCTGAGCACATCTCTTGGGTCCCCGGGCTGCGGCAACTGCAGCCAGGTAGGGCTGGGCTAGAGTACACATGGGGAGGGGGTTGGGGTGCTGCAAGGTACCCCTGGCAGGAAAGGGCTTCCGGGGAGAAGAGAGGATCTGGTGCCGCTTTCCATGTGGCTGCGGTCGTTGCTCATTTCCATGGAGCCAAGGATAGAAAAGGGCACGAGAGACTGCCCAGTTCCTATCTTCCTGGAGTGTCCCTGGCATCCCCGAGCTGCTGCCTTTGCCCCCAGAGAGCTCCTCGGAATGGGTCTCTGAAGTCAGGAGAGGTGGCCCCCATCTCCCAGCCCTCCCTGCAGGTTCAAGGCCCAGCCCCCAGCGCCCAGGCATCCATCTAGATGGCATCTGGGGGTCACTCAGAAACTGGGGGGGCCCAAAGGGCAGGAAAGCCAGCCCAAACCCAGCCCGAGTCCACAGGAGCCGCTGCCCACTTACAGATGAATCAATCACTTCCCCAAAAGTTTTCCACCTGAGCAGAAAAGCCGCATCAGTAGCCTCCTGGCGGACCTCAGGCAGGGAGGGCTGTGCCCCACCCCGCCCCCTCCACACCTCGCTCCAGCCCAGCCATGCGGAAGCCATGCTTCCTTGCAGGGCCACTCAGGAACCCAGACCATGACTGCTCTCCCCGAAGCCCCCCCGCCCCACCCCACCCCCGCCTCCACCCAGGACTGCACCGTCCTGGGAACACTCGGCTCAGGCACCTTCCGGACCCCGAGGGCTGGGAGAGCCCCGGAAATCCCGAGCCCCAATCAGGAGCAGCCTGCCGGCCCTGCTTGGGGATCCCCGCCCCCACTGGCACCTCCGCGGTCAATGCTGCAAGTTCCAAGGTAAGTTTAGCCACAATCCCAGCCCTGGGGCTTTGCTGCAGTCGCACAGCTCAATCTACGCTCCCCCGCCACCCCCATCGCGACCCCCAGTCCCCGAGCGGCGACCCCCATCCGCACATGCACCACCAAGCACCCAGGGGCGGCTGGTTTCTCGTGGAAAGCCCGCATGTCAAAGTTCCTGCATCCCGCTGGATTCGCCCTCCTGGCCCTGCCGGCTGCCGGCTCTGCAGTTTTCCAAATGTGGCTGATGCCACGCGCCAAGAGAAAACTCCCGGCACCCGCGTCGGAGCCTCTCAGCACCGGCACCCACCTTGCCGGGGGCACACCCCCACTGCAACACAGGCAAGTTTACAGCGGCCAGCCTGGAGGGCGGGTGGCTTCAGCCGCGGGCTGGGGGACTCACCAGGAGCCCGGGCGCCCTCCGGGCTGGGCTGGTGACCGCGGCAGCAGCAGCAGCGGTGGCAGCGGGCGCAGGGTCGCGGCTCCCCGGGAGGTGCTGCAGCGGCAGCAGCACCAGCCGCCTCCTCCCGGAGCCAATTGCGAACGCAGGGGTGGGGGCGGGCCGAGCTCCCGAGTCCACACTTGGGGGGAGGCAGAGAGAGAAAGAAGACACCAGCACCCCATCTCCGCACCCCTGCCCCCCAGCCCTCCTGCAGCAGCGCAGACTTAGCAGAGCAGGGAGCTCCTGAGAGAGAAGGAGGGAGAGGGAGGAGAGGGGGAGAGAGAGGGAGAGAGAGAGAGAGAGAGAGAGAGAGGGAGAGAGAGAGGAGGCGCTGATGCAGAGTTAAGGAAGGAGAGGCAGCCGCCTGCCCGCTGCACACCTTGCGCTCGGGCTCATCTGCAGGAAGCTCCTGCACCCCCGGCCCGGCCGGCACAAGGTAGAGGTCAGGGCGGAACAAAAGGGAAGGCCGGCGGGAGTGCACGCTCGCACATGCACGGCCCCACAAGCGGAGACTCACGCCGGGGGGGAGGGGAGGGGCAGGGCCTGACCTGGCCAGAGCGGGTGTGGGGGCCCTGGGATCAGAAGCAGCCTCACCTTGGCAGTTCTTATATACCCAGCCAAGCATCCCAAACACGCGGCCCGGCCAAGTGGCCCCCCTCAGGCTGTGCTCCCTGACCATATTTAGTCAAGCAGGGGAAAAAATAGCCTGTCAGCTGGGCCGAGGCTGGCCTGGCAGCCAGGAACAGGGTGGGAGCCCCAGCGCCATTGACGGTGTCCCTGTCCCCAGCCCAGGCAGCGGCCTGGTCTCCCTCCCCGCCCCTCCTGACAAGCCTCCTACCGGTTGTCCCTGCCCTGTAATCCCCCTTCCCCCCGCCCCCCGCTATTTTTAGCCCAGCCCAGTAGAGAGGCGCCTCCTCAGCAGCGGGCAGTAGCCTCTAAGGCCGTGCCAGCCGTTCCTTGGGGTGCCCTGGGGAGACCCAGGCACTCCAGGGTGCAGGGCCAGGGAGGGGTGCTGCCTTCCTTTGTGCCCTTGGCCTCCAGCACGCTGAGCCCAGCCTGGGCACCCCAGGGCTCCCGCAGCTTTGCCTTTTTGTGGCCATGGAGCTGACCCCCAAGAATGAGCACTGCCAGTCACCTTGGCCGGGCAACTTGCTGGCCACCCCTACGCTGGGCTTCACCCTCAGGGGCTTGAGGCTGGGAGACCCCAAGTCTGTGGTGCTCATTACGCTTGGGAGCGCCCCATCCTGGGGGATGACTGAATTATGTAACTGGCATATGCCAGGACAAGGCCCAGCAGCGCCGGAACTCAGAGTCCAGTGGCCTGGGCCAACCCACACTCCCCTCAGGCTGCGTAGCACTGAGCATATCTTCTCATCCCTCTGCGGACTCCCCAAGACTGCGAAGTGCACTGACAGTAGGCTGCAGTGGCCCTCCTGGAAAGTCAGGAGCAGGCACAGGTGGGGGACACCAACCTTGTGCCAGGCGTCAAGGCCCTCCCGGAGCATGGGCACTGAGAGGCCCACTTGTCCCACAAAACGTCTGCAAACGTCTTGCTCCTGTAAGACGTTCGCTCTGTAATCCCCCTTCCCCCCGCCCCCCGCTATTTTCAGGCCAGGCAGGCGGTCCAGCCTCTCCAGGTGTGCTCGCTGGTGTGGACGCCCAGGGGACACCTGAGGGGACCTTGCGTCTACTCTGGGCCGGCCCTGGCAGAGCGTGGGGCTGTGGTTCCAGGTCCCCTCCTTGCGGAAGGACACTGCCTGAGGCCAACTCTGCAGAGGCGCGGGAAGGAGAGCTGGGAAGCCCCTCATTGGGCACCGTGTAGGCTGCCCCTGCCCATAGGTGGCTGCTGAGCTCTTGAAATGAGCTGGCAGAGCGCAGAGCTGCTTCTTCCTCTGCCTTGGTTCTAACTCCTCTCTGTCTGGTGGCCACATGTGGCCACCGTGCTGGACAGAGGTTGAGCAGTAGAGTAAACGTGGCTGGACGCTGGGTGAAGGCCGTCCACTAGGAAATGCGTTAGGGGTGGCACCAAGAGAGGCCTTGCAGGACGGCCTGGGGTGCGGAATGTACAAGGCCCAGGTGACCTTGAGGACAAAGCCAGGGGAGGTCGGAAGAAGAGAGTCCAGGGCCAAACCCACGGAGCGCAGTGGCCAAGAAGGGTGGAGGCTGGAGTGTGAGGCAGACAGCACGGAGGCCAGAGCGAATGTGGGCGGCAGCGATACGGTGACATGGGATGTTGTGGCAGGCTGCGTGGGCCAGGCCTGGGGCATGGCCATCATGTAGTTGAGGCAGGCCGGACCCCACCCCACAGCCACTCTCTGAGGGTCACTGCAGGACCCAGGCAGCACTGGCTGAGCCTCAGGAGCCCCAGGCTGCCTCTGTGGATGGGGCTGGGCCAGTGAGGCTGAGGCCGGGCTGGAGGACGGCCCTGCTCTGGCTGTAGCTTCAGAGTTTGCCCACAGGATTCACTGATGAAGAACAAGCTTCCAAGAGAAAGAGGACATCAGGGATGGGAACCCTTGTAAGAAAAGGGGAAGACAGAACTGACACTAAGGAGCTCTCTCAGGCCCATTTTGCAGGTGAGAACACTGAGGCTCAGGAAGGCCTAGTCCATACCTCAGAATGTACCCAGAGAGTGGGAAATGGAGGGCTCAAATTCCCTGCCCCTCATTTTCCCGTCTCCCAGAGCCCTGTCCTTTCCCTAGATCTGGAGTCAGCCCTAGCTCCAGGACTCGGCCAAAGGGGCTCAGGCTTGGAAATCAGGAAGCGAAGTGAGAGGAGAGGAGGGAGCGCCGTGTCCTGGAGATGAGGAGGGTGGCTTGCCCCCGTGCTATGGGAGAGACTCCGCTCCTCCCCCACCTGGGAATCAGTTTTCTGGGTAGCTGGATGGGGCCAGCTCTGGGGAGTGGGCCTCTAGAATTTGGGGAAGTGGAGCCGTGTCCCTGGGCTCCTCACCCTGCCCATGCAGGGCCCTCACAGCAGCAGACAAGAGGGGTGCAGGGCACCAGCAGCTGCCGAGCAGCTTCCTGGAAGCCAAGGGTGGCGATGGAGCCAGAGCTGCCTCAATTGGCAGCTTCTGCCAGCGAGTATCCACATCGCTCTGGGCAGAGGGACCCCCATCCTGGGCTGCAGTCTCACTCCGGGCCGTGACAAAGTGACCTTGAGCTGCTCCAGAGCCTCCTCAGCCAATAGCAGGGCGGGGTCTGCTGCACAACCCACGCAAAGTGCCTGTCACAAGTTCCACACGTAGCCACGTGCAGGCTCTGTTCCTCCAGCTTCCTGAGGGGTCAGGCCAGCATCAGGGAGGCACGGTCAAGGGTCTGGGGTTCTGTGGAAGGAGCCTGGGCAGAGGCCAGGGGCTCTGCGACCCAGTGCCTGCTCACTGCCCTAGTGTGGGCTGCACCAGCTGGGAGGTGGCCACCTCACCGGGCCTGCTCTGGCCTCCCTGTGCCTCTAAGGGGATCAGAGGCAACCTCCCAGCCCCACCTGTGAGGGGGTCAGGACATCCCTTGCTGGTGACCAGGAGTAGCTTGGCTAGGGACCAGCCCAACTAGGCTCAGCCCTGGTTACCGTGGTCACAGGTCCCCTCCCAACAGGGTTCCCATGTGTCGCATTGTGGGTAGGGCAGGGGAGGGCAGATAGTGTCGCCTTCTTGTGCCCCTTTGGGTCTTCCTGTACCTGTTTCTAGCTATTGAATGAATGAGTGACTCAGTAGAGAACTGGCTGATAGATCCACTGACCCCAAGACGGCCAGAGCCGAGGGATGCACGTGAGGGGGGTGCTCTGGCTGGAGCCCTGCTCACATGTGGTCAGCTTCGGGGTTTGGAGCGAGTTTGGGGTCTTATGTGGGGAAATGTAGCAAGCAAGTGCCCTTGCAGGATCAGCACAACCGAAGGGTAGGGCCACGCCTTCCACGGTGTCCACCTCTCCCAGGGACACTGACAGCACAGGGCAGTGAGGGTCCCCTGTCAGCGTGGCTGTGATAGGAGGCTTCTGTAGGCTCTAGCAGCAGCTGCCCCACACCTGGGACGTTACTGGTCACCCACGATAAGGCAAAGCCCGGCAGCCTCTATGCTCTATCCAGCAGTTGTTGGTATTACCCCGGCCAGTGTCACCCATGGTATTTTACACCTCAACAGGAGCCAGCCACGACCTTGGTCAAGGTGGCTTTGCTCACCTCTGCGGAGAACAGGATGTGAGCCCGGCCCTCTCATCTGAGTGCCAGCACCTGACTTGTCTCTCCCAGGAAATCTATTGACACCTACCTCAAAGCCAAGCCCTGAGACTAAGCAGGCCACTTCCTTGGACTTGACCCCATAATCATGTAGGATGGGGTGGCCATGAACACTTAGCTCTCAAACAGGGTGGGCACTTCTCATTTTTCTCCCAGGGAACCCTTCCCTGCTGCTTGGTCCCATGCAAAGCCCTCCCCCTTCACCCCTGCCCTTGGCCACTCTGCCAGGGAAGCCACTGTGGAAGTCAGGCGGGCCCTGACTGAGGGGCGGGACAAACAACACACAGCGCATTCATGCAGAGGAATGGTTTTGGACCATAAAAAGGAATGAAGCTGCAGCACACGCTACAACACAGATGCATCTTGAAAACCTGCTGCTAAGTGACAGAAGCCAGACACACACTGCACATCGCATGCGTCCATGTCCACAAAATGTCCAGCACAGGCAAATCTGCAGAGACAGGCGGACTGACCATCAGGCACGGGGAGCCGGTAGGAAGCAAGTACTTCACAGCATTCAGGTCTCCTCAGGTGTGAGGAGAATGTTCTGGAACTACATAGAGGTGATGGGTGTTGCAGTGGACTAAATGCCACTAGGTTGTGCACTTTAAAGTGGTTTGTTTTTATCTTATGTGAATTGCACTTGAACGGAAAACAAAAAAGCCAGTCACAGAGTCCAGCCTCCACACCCCCGGAATCCCTACCCCTGGACACAGGGCTGCCCAGTCCCGGCTCCAAGGCCCCAGGTGCTGCTTTCTTGGGGACTGTCTCAGGGCCACAGTCAGATCTGCTGGGGGAGGTTGTGAGGCGCATCACAGGTTACGCCCCCAGCCCCGTGTGCTGCTGGAACCGTGTCTGGGCGGCAGACAGAACCATCTCCCCTTCCTCAAGGATGCCCACATCCTGATGCCCAGGGCCTGACTGTGTCACCTTACGTGGCCAAAGGGACTGTGCAGACGGAATTAAGTTAAAGATCTTGAGACGGTGCTGTCCCAGACTATGTCATGATGGGGTCCTTACTAGAGGGTGTCAGAGAGAGATGGAGGTGCACCGCTAGCGTGGAAGATGGAAGAAAGGGCCGCCCCTCAGAGCAGCTCTACTGCCAGGAAAGACAGGACACGGGCCCTCCCCTCAGCTCCAAAGGGCTCGGCCCCGCCAACGCCTTGGCAGTAGACTTCTGACTTCCAGATCTGTAAGAAAGTCGATGTGTGTACTTCAGCCACCAAACACGTGGCCATCTGTTACGCAGCCACAGGACGCTCACCCCTGCTGGCGCCCCTCGGGGAGGCCCTGCCAGCCTGGATCCTGCAGCCTGGCCGGGCCTCAGCTGTGCTCCTGGACAGCTGGGCAGGGGAGCTGGTGGGCAGGGGAGGAGATGGATCACCCTGAGGGGCAGGCGTTGGAGGGTCTTGGGCCAGGGCTCCTCTTTGTCCTTCCCTTCACTGATGATACAAAATACCCAACATCTAGAACCTGCAGGAGAAATTCATTTTGACTCACAGTTTTAGAAGTTCTAGTCCACGTTTGGCAGGCGCGAATACAGAAAACAGCAGGAGGAAGAGGCGGGTGGAGGAGAGCTGCTCGCCTCATGGTGCCCAGGAAGCAGAAAGAAGGGCAGAGACAGGGAGGGAGGCAGGCGCTCCCGGCCACACCCCCAGGGACCCACCTCTTCCGGTTGCTGAGGTCACAGTGGGTGATTCCATGTGCTCCATGATCCATTTACCTCCCTGAAGCCTGTGTGGGCACAGAGGCTGGGCTGGGGGCATTCTTAGTCTAAACCCTAACAGCTCCAGAGCAGAGGCCTGGGTCCACAGACAAACAGCTTTGGTGAGCAGGGGGCCTAGGCCCCATCCAGGAGCCGGTGACCCCTCCTGCCCAGCCTCTGCCCTGGAGTCCAGAGTTCTGTGCCCAGCGCATGGACAGTGTGCCAGTCTGCAGAATTGCCCAGAGCCCTTATCAGGCCAGTGAGCGCTGCAGGTCCCCAGGGGGAGACGAAATCTGCAGCACTACCCGGCCTCCACTGAACACCGTGCCCTCTGCCCACCCCAGCCCACTCCCCTGGCACACATGGGCGCGTGGCGTCCCAGGGATGGGGGAGCTTGAAGGAGCCGTGTGGCCTGGGGACCAGAGCTGCAGGTGAAATGTCCACAAGCACAGGACGGCAACCCACACACAGTACCTGGGTGGCTGCCCACTGCAATCTGGGTGTGCACACTCAAACACGCACACACACAGCAAACAAACACACGCTCCCTTCACAGCAGGGGGAAATCTCCCTGGCAGAGCATAAAGAAAGTTATATTTCACTGCCGTGGTGTCAGCAGAGAGCACTTTGTCTCCTGCTAGAGACAGCCCATCCAGAATGGTGACAGCTCTCCCGTCACCAGACACGGGTGCCCACGCGGCACCATTTGGATCCTCCAGCCAGGGTTACTCAGCAGCTTTGGGTCAGCACCTGCCCCACCCATGAGCCTGGCCCACACAGAGCTTCGGGGACAAGAGGGCCCCGGGGTACAGAGTGGCCTCGTACTCGGAAGCCCCTCCCTCCCTTCTCAGTGTGTGGGGAACAGCTTCTGGGGTCCAGGGCCCAGCCTCTCTGTGCAGTGTTCCCCTAATCCCAGGAGGGGGCCACCCAATGGTCAAAGCCGGCAGTGAGCAAGCTGGCTTCCCTGAGTCCTGACCGCCGCCCTTCCACGAGCCAAAGCCCCTGCTGCCTCCGGACATCAGGGGAGAGCAGAGGCAGGTTTGGGAGCAGTGCTGGCCCTGCAGGACATGAGGAGGCAGAGAAGCTTGCTGGGTCCTTGTGGAGGGATCCCCACCTCTAGGGAAAAGGGAGCACCCAGTGCTAAAGGGCTAGGAGACCCCAGCTTTGCCCACAGGTAGGGTGGGAGGGGCAGGGCAGATGGGAGGTTCAGGGGCCACTGCTGGCTGCATTTTAAGAACACTGCCTCACATGCAAAGTTTATCGCCATGATGTTTCCTGGCTCTACCAGAGCTGCAGACATCGGAGCCCACTGAAACCCTGGGCTCATGCAGCCTGTCGGCCTGGTCTGTAAACTCCATCCCGCAGAGCCCCCGAGCCCTCTGCACATTCCTCACCCCACCGTGGCCATCACTCCATCTTCCCCAGGCACTGTAGCCACCTGGGAGCTTCAGGAGACCCGGGGGGATGGAACTTGGGTGCACATGGCAGCCCAGCCCGGGCTTAGGACCGGACAGGGGACAGATCAAGCTCAGAAGAACTTGGGGTACCAAGCTCCCTAGGACCACAGTGGCTCTTCATGGTGATATTGGCCTCCTGCAGAGGCCAGATCACTTCTGCCCCATTTGGCCCCTCACCCACAGCAATGTCCTCAGCCTGGGGGAACACTGTCGCTGCAGACTGCACTGGTGTCTCTACAGCTCCCTCAGCTCTGGAGGCCCTGCCTGGGTCACATCTGCCCCTCACAGACCCCCTTCCCCGCAGACCTCTCACTTTGTCCCCCAAGACGTCATACTCGACACTGCCCCCAGGCCTCTACCAACCCGCAGGCTCCCAGAACGCCTCTTCCCTCCAGGACTGCTGTTCGCCCCAGCACCTCTCCAGCCGGACTCCAGCCCTGATCCAGCGCAGGGCCGGAGGGAGGGAAGGAGGCCGGCGCGCTGCTCCATACTGAACAGTGTTGGAGGTTCCTGGGGTCTCCTCTCCCTGGCCTCCTCGTGGGAGGAGGGAGGGAGGGAAGGAGGCCGGCGCGCTGCTCCATACTGAACAGTGTTGGAGGTTCCTGGGGTCTCCTCTCCCTGGCCTCCTCGTGGGAGGAGGGAGGGAGGGAAGGAGGCCGTCTCCTGACTGCGTCCTCCGGGAGCCAGGGAGCGTTGATCCGACAGACTCAGCCACAATTAGCCCATTCCCTCGTCCCTGCCCTATAAATATTCATTCTGGAATTGTTATAAAGGTGCCTTTAAAAAAACGCCAAACTCATTTGGATAAGGAACTGAGCTGCTGCCAGACGCAGCTGCCAGGCTGAGCCCCGCGGTGGATGGGGAGACGCCACCACCAGGCTGCCTTTCTCGGGGCCCACGCGGGCGCTCTCTGGAGTTTTGTTTAATTTGGGACGGGTTTTGGCTCCCTGCACATAACATTTATAAATGTCACAGCGCGCTTGGGATAGGAGTGGGAGCCGCACCTCCCCAAGGGTGCAGACCGCGGTGGCCACGGTGCTGGGCCCAGCAGCCCTGGGCAGGATGTGAGCCCTGCCCGCAGGGACACTTCAGCACCCCCTGCCTTCACAGTGTGCTCTCTCCGCAGCCCCTGCACACCAGAGGGGCCTGAGCTCAGTTGTCCTAAGCTGTCGTGGTGCCGAGTCTCAATCTCCATCTCCAACCGTCTCGGTCAACATAAAGATGAGTGCCGGGCGGCCTGTGGACCCGGGGCTGAGGTGGAGGTGGCGCTGTCCGGCCTGCCGCCCTCCTCTGCCACCTCACTACCCCTGCGGGCTGTCGGGCGGGCATGACACACCTGGCCATAGCTGGGAGAGCTGCTGGCTGGGGAAGCCACGGGTCAGAGGCCCTGAGCTGCGTGGCTCTGGAATGGGCATTCACTGACTGCCAGTCCCAAGAGCACGCTGCAAGCCTACAGACGCGCTGAAGCGTTGGCTAAAGGAACAGCCACTCTGTAGATGTGGCCGCGTGGCAGGGGTCACAATGAGCGGCTCTTCAGGGTATAAGGGCATGACCCTACCTTGGCCGTGGGGCTGGCCCTGGTGCCCCAACTCAGGCTCTGTCTCCCTCTTAGTGGCTGCTCTGTCCTCAATCCCAGCCACACTGGGCCTGTCCCCCAAAGGCCAGTCCATATCTGCCTCTCCCCCCGTATTCTGGAGCATCACAGGAAATGACAATGTGAGATGTCACCGTGAGGTCCTGGTTTCACTGCGGAGCTTGCAGTGAGCCCTGCAGAGTCACAGGAGGTAGGCCGTCTACTGGGCTGAGTTCCCACCCTAGGACTCCAGGCACTGTGACAGGCCCAGGTGACCAGGAATCTGCACGCACACAGGCGCAGTGGGTGGAGGTGGTCTGATGCTGTTTCTTTGGAAGAGATTCTGAGATAAGGGCTACCAAGTCCCTCGACAGATTTAAGCACTGAGGTAGAGGAGTTTCTAGTGTTCATGAGGTCCTGGGTTCAATTCCTACTATACACACACAAGAAAAAAGAAGGGAAAAGAAAACTTGTGCCACAAATGAGGAGAAGCTGCTGTTCTGCTCAAACTACAAATTCTAGAAAACCTTCTCTCCTCCCCTTTCTCCTCCTCCTCCTAAGCCACTTGCGACACGGGGCACCCCCACAATCAGCCTCCTGAGGTAACATCCTGGCTGGAGTCCAGCAGGTTCCTCCCTGTTGTGGCCCTGGTGCTGCCGCCTGATGCAGCTCCGCTCCTCCCCCGTGGGCTCCAGGCCTGCAGCTGTGCAGCCAGGCAGCTGAGGCTCCTGCTTACAATCTGAGCCCCCATAGTCTGCAGTGGACCCCAGCATCCCACACACTGGACTCAGGGAGCCCTCACCTCTTCCATGGTCACCCCATCCCTTGGAAGAGGACCTGTGACATCTCAGGTCACCCTACGCGGAAGGCCTGCTAGGGCAGCTGTGTGGGGACAGAGCTCTGCTGAGGGGAATGGGAAACCAAAGCTCCCTTCCGCTGTGCCTATGGCTGCGGGTGTCCCCCTCTCTCTGCCCCTGAGAGCCCCACTTGCCTCTGCCTGCCTCTGTCAATCATATGGAGAAAGAAGCTCTAAGCCTGAGAGCTGGCCACACTCCAGGGTCCCCAGGACAATTTCCCTCTTCCCAGGCCCAGTACAGATGAGAGCCACCCTGCCCAGGAGGGAGCCACCCACGTAACAAATGGAGTTCTGTGAAATCCTGATGAATGGCTCTGGCTGCCAGGAAAACTCCAGGGCGAAGTCAAATGTGAGTTCTCAAACCCTTGGAGGTATTCCTTGGATTTATTACGTGCCTGATAAATTATTGAACCAGAGTCCTTCAGTATCTGTTCACAGAGACAGCAGGCCAGGGCTGGTGACTCCACCTTCACCCAGAGATTCGCCTGCAGAGGTTTGAGGATCCCCCTGGAAGGGCTCCTGCCAGGAGCTTGGGCTGGGAATGCCAGGTCCCAGGCCTGCTTTCCCAGAGTCACACTGGAGAAGGCCCACGGGAAACCCCCAGCAGGAGGGTCCCAAAGCCTGGGAGAGCCTCCAACGGTGGCCCTCTGGGGCCTTCCATCCACCTTGGCCTAGAAGTAAGGGCATTTGCCCGGCCACCTCACCTGGCGGAAAGGGGTTCGGTTTCCCAGCTTCCTTTGGAAGCCCCAAATCCATGCCGCTGGGGCCCCCGAATCCCTTGATGACCCCTTCCATCACTGCTGTGCTAGGAGCACTGCCCTGGGCTCATCAGAAGATGTTAGGAAGGGCGGTGGGAGGCCACGGCCATGCGGAAATGATGGGCCAGTGTTTTTGTGGTGATTTGTTGAGGTGCAGCTGGTTTCCACATACATCATCTCCCCCATCTGTGTGGCCCCCGGCACAGACCGCGTCCTTCCTGGGTTGGGGAGGTGCCTGGGGTGTGAGGCAGGTGGCCACACACTGGGGTCTGGGCTCCACCAAAGCCTATGTTTATGGCAGTCTGCTGGGGAGGTTCCGGCAAGAGGTCTCACCACCTGCCTTCTCCGAGATCCCCAGGCCCAACTTCCACTGGCTCCTTAAAGCTCAGAATCCCGAGTCCCGTAGCCCTGGCTTCTTGGGACAGTAGCCCACACCTCCGCTGCACCCTGCCCAGAGAGCAGAGTGGGGTCAGAGTCCGGGCTCAGCTCCTCTCCACTCCTGAGTTCCCCCAGTCCTCTCTCCTGCTCTGCACCCCTCTCTCCCCTTCCCTGCCAGGTGACACCCCAGCTCCTGCTGCCCTAGCTGCACCTAGACTTGGGCAGGAAGGCTGTCCCAGGACCGACTCAGGCTCAGGTAATGGCTCACATGGGCAGCACGCCGGGGGAAGTGGGCGGAAGAGGCAGCCGATCAGGCCAAGGGGGCAGTGTGGTGGGGAGCAGGAGGCACAGGGCGCTGTGCAGGGCCAGCGTGGTGCTGGGCCAGGACTCCCCACAGCCCTGCCTGTGAGGCTGCTGCCCGCAAGGTGCCTCTGTTACCATCCTGGGGTGACCTTCCCCAGGGCTGCAAGGCCGCCTCACTCAGGAGTTTTGCATTCACAGTTACAAGCTGTTTTATTGCCCAGTCAGTAAGAACCTTCTGATTATGTCATTGCAGAGGCTGTCGGATGCCAACAAATAGACATTTCCTCCTGTCCACCGCTGACCCGCCGGCTCCTGTGCTCTCATTAACCAGCAAGGCCTGGGGATGCTCCTGGACTACCCTGGCATCCGGAGCCCCAGGCCGGGGGGCTCATTTCCCAGGGCCAGAGAATGAGAGGCTGCAGATAGGGGGGCAAGAGCCTACGGGGGCTGCAACGCTGACTCTGTCAGGCAGCGGGAGCTTGGGAGATAGCCTGGGCTGGGGCTGCTGCCCAGGAACGGGGCCCCAGAAGCAGCACTGCCCTTTGTGCTGGTCCAGAAATCCTGGCTGGGTCGGGTAGAAGAGAGTCTGCAGAAGCCATGTAGAGTGTCACACACTGCCAAATGCTGGGACAAAGCTTGAACAGAACGCAAGGACCCAAGTCAGGTGCTGATGGAGACCCTCCCCTTCTCTGAGAATCGGGGGTCACAGAGCCCTGCCTTCGGGGAGAGGCTTGGTACACTTGCCCACCTCAGGTCCGGAGCTCCAGCATGCAGCTGAGAGTGAAGACGGCCTCGGCGCCGGGCCAGCACACTTCGGGAGGTTGACATCAGCACAGACTCACACTGCTGCGCACCTGTTGAGCAGACCCAAGAATAGCCTTTTTCAAGGAGCTGAGCTGCCCACGTGGTCACAGGCTGGGGGCGGGGGCGACGCGGGAGCTGGGGGCTCTGGCTGTGCCCAGCTTTCCATTCTCCCAGGCTTCGCTTCTTCACCTGGGGAGGAAGGGGGTTCCCACCCATCTTTCTGTGCCGAGCGGTGAGGGTCTGGCTGACAAGGGGGCGGTGCATGAGCACATGAGACTCTGGACTCGGGGCTCGGTCCTCACCCACCTGGGCAGGGGGCTGTCAGCCCCGCAGCGACCCATCCTCCCGCAGCCTCGGCCGGGGCTCATTCCACGGGCCTGACCCTGAGTTGACCCAGGTCCAAGGTGGGGACCAAGGCAGCCCCAGGACAAGCTCTTGGGCACCGAGCAGGTGCTGGGCTAACCATGAGGCCCATGGTGGGTGCTGGTAGAGTGGCCAGCCCCCCCAGACCTGTCTCTAACCCACCTTCCTCAGGCCTGGCCCCGTGACCCTCTCAGGACCTCTCTCTGAGTTAGAGGCAAAGATGAGGGACATTTGGGAGAACGGGGGCCCAGTGGAGTCTCCGAAGTGCCAGCCTCATCCCCAGGAGCCGCCTGCTCCCAGCCAGCCAGCACCTCATTCCCAGTGCTTTCTGGAGCTGTAAGGGGCAACTCCTCCTCTCCTCCCCCTCCCTTACCTCGAGGTGGGCTGCTGCCTGCCCCCACAGACACGGTCAGCCCCAGCTCTAGCCCTACCTGCCTGGGCTCTGTAATGAGCATACCAAGAAATGTGTCAGAGGTAAACCTTAAAAACATAACCATGTGAGGCCAGGGTGGTGCAGAGCTGTATCCCAGCGTTCAACAGGCTGAAGCAGGAGGATCGTACAACCTGGGCTACAGAGTGAGACCACGTCTCAAAAAAAGTCACTTGTGCCCTGATGACCAAACTGAGTGACCGACCTCCGAGGGTACTGCAGAGGCTTTGGTAAGTCACCTCAAACTTGATACCAGGTGACACTGATCAAAGGTTGAAGGCACAGCCCCATGAGGCTCACACACTGGTGGCCCTGGGAGGGGCAGAAGCTTCCTGGGACGGTGACCACGCAGCCCCTGCACCGCCCTCTCCACCTGGGACAGCGGAAACGAGGCTGTGGGTGCCTGGGGAAGGTGTCGCATCTGCAGCAGCTCAGGCCTAGTTCCACATCCAGAGACCCAGGAAGGTGGGGCAGGCAAAGACAGGAGAGGTCAGCTGAGTCTCAGACCCTCGGCTTGGGGCCCCATCGTCCCGGGGGAGGAAGTGGCTTCCTTTCCCCTTTTCTACTATCAGCAGCCCTGAGCAGAGCTGTCTGCGCCAGACAGCAGGAGGCCTGGCTGCTCCTGAGGGGCTGGGCTGCCCCTGCCCCCTCTGACCCCGGCCTCCAGCCCTGAGCGCCAGCATCCATTCCCACCGCTGCTGGGAGGGTCGAGCCACACAGCAGACACAGGATGTACGTTCAGACCATTAAAGGGCTCGTCCTGATTCTCCAGCCCCTGCTCTCTGGAGGTAGACAGTGCAGAGTGGCTATTCTGACTCAGAGTTTTCCCTGGAGAGTTGTAAGAAGCCCTTCCCCTGGGAGCCTGCTAAGCCAGCCCTTCTCCCTTTGCCAGGAGGTGTTCACCAAGGTTCCGAAGAGCTGCCCTCCTGGGGGGCAGTGCATGGGCACCTGGAGGTTGCAGGGAAAGAAGGTGCCCATGCAGCCCAGGTCAGGTGCAGGGAGCATTCCCCCACTGCCCTTAGCTGGAGAGGACCTGCAGGACTCTGCCCTAGCAGTTCCCAGGGCCCTCACTGAGGTGGGGCTGACAGTTGCTCTTGTTTCGGGGCTGGGCTTGCCCCACCCGCATGTGAATAAGACCCTCTCCCCGCTCCAGCCCCTGGCCACCAGCCCCTTGGAAAGACTGGGGGTCCCAGAGGCACTGAGGCATCAGCCCTCCCCAGCCCTGGAGGCATCAGGGCCGAGGGTAGCTCCACTCTATGGCTCTGACAGGACCAGGCCGAAGTAGCCCCACCTCTACCCTAAAGGGGCCCCCCAAAGGGGGGCTCACTGGTGCACTCTGACCTCCTCCCACACTCCCCACTGTCCCCTTCCAGATGCCCCTGGAGCTGGTTCCCAGCCCTCAGCCTCCTTCCTGAGCACCAGCGAGCCTGTATTGACTGCTCAGACTACGCATTGATTGGCTGAAAGGTGAAACCCGAAATAGTCCCCTTTCCGGTAAACAGGAATTTTAATTGTTTAGGCAGCTAATCTCTGGTATTGGTCACCTCCCAGGAAGCTGGGGGCCTTTGATCTGTGCACAGCAGCAAGGACGGTCTCAGGACAGGTACAGGGTGGTGGGCGGTGGGAGGACAGGGGCATGGCACCACCAGCGCTCTGTGCTGGCCAGCAGGAAGCTGTGGATCTCTCTCCCAGGAGCCGGGGCCCCTCGGCCGGGGTGCCCAGAGCTTGCTCCCGGTCCTGCTGCTTCTTCCCGGTGACGCCTTAAGCAAACTGCTTGGCCCTGCCGTGCCTAACGTCCTCATCTGAAAAGTCAAGTAACCACAGTGACCATGCACCTGGCCGAAAGACTCAGGCAGCGCTCTTCTGGGAGTGCAGCTGGGGCTGGGTCTACAAGGGGGCCCCATGCCCCAGAGCAGCCTCCAAGGCCCCTCACTAGAACCTGAGAATTGACAATTCTATTTCTCAAGATGTTTGAGCAAAAAGACCTCAGTCTTCCCCGTGCCAGTCCAGCCCCGAGCACTGCCGGTGTCTGGCGTGCTTGGATCTGTCCTTCCAGTCCCAGCTCTGGGGGCAGGAGAGCAGCCCCGAGACTTCTTGGAGATGGGTGGGGCCAGCTGCTGCAGAGCACAACTGCACCCGTGCACGCCTGGTGCACAGGAGAGCGGGGCACAGGCACGCCGGCCTCCTCCCTGAGGTCCCAGCGGGCCACAGTGACCGCAGGGGAAGAATGGCCATAGCCGGGGCATCACGTGATCCTGTGGGCCAGCATGAGAACCCTGACTGTGTCCTAAGGGTGCAGGGCCCCCCTGAGCTCAAGGAGACCAGGAGGCAGAGCCCGTGAGAGGCCTCTGTCACCTGGCAGGGGGCCACGAGGACCTGAGGCGGAGGTGTGGAGAGACTGGCCAACAGGAGAGCCCTTCACTGCACTCCCAGCGGGGGAGCGGAGACTGTCCTGCTCCCAGCCCCGTCTCCACGGCCACTGAGGCCTGGGGCAGGAGCCTCGGCCTCCCCAGCTGACCCCCCGAGGTGCCAGGACCTGAAACAGAGATGCACACGTCCCGCCCCGGACTCACAGAAGCCCAGAGCCCTGGGCTCCCAAATGTGCCAAGAGCATGGGGAGAGGTCCAACCTCCCAAACTCATTAGGTCCTGGCTGACATTTCTCCAAGAAATAATTAATTTTGATATCACAAAGGGCATTTCCCGGCGGCCAAGGTCATCACAGGCCTGGCTGCAGCCTTCTGTCAGCAGCAGTCTCCCACTCAGCCCGGCTGCTTTGACGAATGGGGTTTTAGACTTGACTGCATAATTGGAGGAATGAAGAGGGGGCTAAAGCTGCTTTTCTTGCAGAAATACCTACCGGTGCCGCATCAGCTGCAAGCTGGCCCAGCTGCGGTTGGGCCACTGCAAGCATGGGGGACAAGCTTGGAGACCTCCGGCTCCGAAAGACAGCCTGAGGAAGCAAGGCCAGGGACCCGTCAAGGTCACCTTGAGGGCTCCCCACAAACCTCCCTCAGCCCCAGTGGGAGCACAGTGGGAAGCTGGGGGTGCGTTCGCCAGCCATGGGGCCTGGATGGCAGCGGTCCCCGCACTCAGCGGCAGATGGGATGGCGCCAGAGCCGCCCTCAGGAGCTCTTGACTGTGATGAGAGCACGTGTGCAAGGTGCTCCGATGCTCCCTGGCCACAGCCGGTGTTGGGCACACATATGCGCAAGCCTAGGAGTGACTTGGCCCCCATAATGAAGAAGCCTCATAAAGGCTTAAACCACAGGCTCTCCCATGTCCCGGCTCTGGAGGCTGGAAGTCAGGTCGGGCGCTGGTGGAGCCGGCTCCTCTGAGGCTCCATCACTCTGTGTGACTGCCTGGTGACCCCTCTCAGAGAGGCCATCGCGTGGGAGCAGGGCTCCCCCATGTGACCTCCCCTTCACTACATCTGCAGAGAATCTGTTTCCAAAGAAAGTCACAGCCTGAAGTCTTGGTCCATGGCACTAGGATAGAGTGCCGCTCTGTTACAGCGAAGTTCATTACTAGGAAAACCCTGAATCCAGACATCTATCACAGCTGCCCCCATAATGCCAACCTCCGAAGCAAGCACGCTGCCCTTCCGCAGATGAGTGAACATACACACTGTGGCACCCTCAGAGAGAGGGATGTTATACAGCAACAAAAAGAAACTAGTACTGTCACAAGCACACATCTGTTATCCCAGCACTCATGAGTTCAAGGCCAGCCTGAGCTACATAGTGGGTTCAAGGCCCCCTGGAGTACATAGCGAGACCCTTTTTTCAAAAAGCAAAACAAAAAGACCTGGAGAACCTTCAACGCATATTACTATGGGAAAGAAGCCAGTCTGAAGGATGGCCTGTTTGGCCTTCTGAAAAAGGCCAAACCAAAGAGAGTGAAAAAAATCTCAGTGCTGGCCTGATGTCAGATGGGAGAGGGGACAAGCAGAGCACAGAGGACTAGGGGAGCGATGAAAATTCTCTGCATGACAGTCATTCGTTATGCATTTGTCCAAACCCAAGAATGCCCGCCAAGAGGCCCGAATTTGAACTATGAGCTCTGAGTGACAGTACATGTCCGTGTCGGTTCGTGGGTTGTCGTGTGTTGTGGGAGAGTTGATTGCAGGAGGGCTATGCTGGTGGTCGGGCAGGCGGTGCGAGAGAACTCTATATTTTCTGCACAGTTGTCTATAAAGGTAAAGCTGCTATTGTAGAAGTCTATTCTTTTTTAAAAGTCCACCAGAAGTACAAAGAAGCTCTCTGTATTGTCACCGCAGCTTTTCTCTAAATCGAAATTTCTTCCAAATAAACCCAGTACCATCTTCCTAACACCATGGCCTGTGCCTGCTGACCCAGCCCCCAGCCCTCTCGCTGTGAGGAATGGATCTGGGGCAGTCTCTGTGGGGACAGAGGTGGCCCTCATGCTCAGGGCCTCCCCCGCTCAGCTACGCCTTAACTGGAGTGAAAAGGTGTCCTGGAGTCAGGTTTGCCTGTTCAGCATCGTCCGGCTGAACTGGGGCTTTGGTAGTTGTCCCTCCATTGGAAGCCAGCCCCGAGAAGCAGCATTCACAGCGATGCAGCTTGTCTCAAGGAGAAGGACTCAGGTGATGCCACAGCTCCAGAGCCCAGCAGAAGGGCAGATGGGGCAGAGGACAGAGGCCCAGTTGACCCACTTCAGGTGGACGTTAATGAGAATCTAGGTTTCGGTCCCTGTCCTGCTTACCAGAACTTTCTCCATGGTGTGACAGGCAGGGCAGGCAGAGTGGCAGACAGCTGGTGTCAGGTGGAATACCTGGACCCCAGCTCCCTGAAGCCACCGAGTACCGCACATGCCTCATGGCAGAGGTGGCTTCTGAGCTGCTCCAGGTGTGAGTGCCATCCCCAGAGGCCTCTGTCTCCTGTCATAGCAAGGAATCCTGGGGGGAAGGCTGGGGGTAGCGATTACCACTGGGACCACCTGTCTGCTTCCACAGATGGTTCTTCAACAGCACTCAGCTCAGAGACCCCTTCTACACAGACCCACCCACCCGAGAGCCAGGGCCACCCCGCCCTGCCGGGGGGCCTGGCTACCTGCCGAAGTCGTTCCACCTGTCTCCTATCTGCAGTGTCTCCGGTGAGACGCTACCACGGCAACATTAAACAAAGAGCATCTGAGTGCTAATGGAGATTTCCCTGTCATGTCCCAGCGCAATTTTGGTTGGAAGTTGCCAGATGGAAACTTCATTTTTACCCAGCATTTCCTGCCCAGTTCAGTGTGTAATTGGCTAACACTTCCCCTTGGCGATTTAGCAGGGAGCACTGCATCTTCTAAAACGAATAAATCTAAATAAAGCCCAAGAAGCAAGAAGACTGCAAACCACTCAACCCTCTACTTCTTAAAGATAAACCATCTCCCCTCCATGCTGAGAAGCCACGGGCAGCCTGGGTCCAGCTCCTTGCTCCCGGCCAGAGAAGCCTTGGTAACTTCTGACCTCAGCCCGTCCCACATCCCACTGCCCAGCGAGGCCTTCGGCAGCTGGGCTCACGTGGCTCTGGCCGGGAGGGGAGCACAGTAATGCTTATCTTCAAAACATTCGCGTGCTGATGAGGAGCACAGGCTGCAGGACGCTGGCCCCGTGGACACGTTCCCAGGGCCAAGGGGCAGGGAGGGCCCTGGGAAGAGGAAGAGGCCATGCCCAGAACCTCCTGCTGCTGGAGACTCTCATTCTGGCTGCCTGGACAAACCATCTGCAGCAGCCCACGAGCCACCGGGACAGGGGGCTGCGAGCAGCGGGTGGAGCCCAGCACATCTCCCCCACGTTCTGTGCTCTGTCTGTGTCACTCTGGACAACGTCATCCTGGCCCTCGCCCCAGAGTGCTGAGATCAGCAGAGGCCAAGTGGCCATTCTGGAAAAGCAGAAGTGAGTGCACACCCAGCCACACGGAGAAGCCGCTCCATCACTGGCCAGCGCCGTCTGTGCCAGCACTCAGGACCTTCCCCGAACAGGCCTCCCCAGATGAGGGAACCTCCAAGCCACCGCCGTCCTCCAGCCTCCTGATGCTGCCCTCGCCCGGCCCCTGATGGGCCCTACAGGACGGCACCGCAGCCTTGGCACAGGCGGTTCTGTCTGAAGTTCACCTGCCGGCGCCCGCAGGCCAGGCTTGTACTAGGAGGAGCCGGGTCCCACGTATAGCCCGGAACCCAAGATGATGTGGGGTGGACTCACGGGGTGTCACTTGGCCGTGTCTGTCCCCGGAACCCGACCTTAACCAACTAGCGGAGGGAAGGTGCTGCTGGGAAAGGAGCCAAGGAGAGAGAGACCCAGAGTGGGTCCCTTCTGGTCCCTCCCTGAGTCACAGGTTTCTGATGACACCAGTGCCACCCTCAGAAGACAGGGCCAGCAGGGCGTGAGGGTGTCCTCTCACACCTACGCAGAAGGCTTGGCTTCCATTCGCACCCCAGGCTGCTTCCACGTTCTGGTGACATTCGGCTCATCACAGCGGCGGCCTCAGCCCCGGGGCCGGTGAGATCCTGGGCACAGAGGTGGCACTGCTGGAAAACCTAGCCCTCCTGTCCTGGTCATCAGCCTGACTAGACAGGATGCCCAGCGTGTGGTCTGTGTCCTCCCTGCCCAGGCTGCAGCCACATGAAGGCCCAGGGGACCCAGCAGCAGTTCTCATGGGACACAGTGGACAGGCAGGGATGGGGGGCTGCCTCCTTGGGACACTGCCTGGGGACAGGCGCGGGCCAAGGTCTGGGGAGTGGGCTGGAGGCTGGGGGTCTGTGTGCATGAAATGACCCATCACTGCGATCATCATGACCACCGTCACACCAGAGTTATCTCTGCCTCCAAAGCCAGCTGGAAGCAAGTGACTAAGAGCAGGCGACACCGGTGATGTCCCAGGTTCATTCAGTCCCCCCCGCATCATTTCACAAGGTCTGCTCAGCAAGGTGTCCTCAAGGTCACAAGGTCATGAGGTCCCCACAGCAAGGTCTGTGCCTCAGGTTAGGCTGTGAGGTCACTTTAACTGCCCCGGACAGAGGCATCCTCCCTGGGGAACTTCGATGTCCCCACAGCCCACAGGATAAAGCCCGAAGGGCTCGGCCAGGGTGCAGGACCCCGCAGCCCATCCTGCCCCGCGTCCCCCACTCATCTGAGCCTCTGCTCCTTCTAGCACGTGGCTTCCCTTCCTCTTCCCGCTCCTAGTCCTCAGCTGTCACCTCCCACAGGAAACCTTCCCTGACTGCCCCCAGGGAGCAATTAGGCTCTACCTGTGTCCCCCCATGAGCATGCGCCCATGGCACAGCTGGGACCCTGCAGGTGAGCTGCGCAGTGGGATTTCAGGGAGGGCTGTAGGCCCCCAACATCGGACCAACCCCTGGAAGTCCTGGAAGAAGCACCCACTGCTGAGAATGCAAGGGTGAGCAGGGCATAGAAGGGTCTGTGCCGTGAGGTCGGTGCCACCACCCCCGGCTGGGCTCTTCCCTGTGTGTCCTCATCAAAGGCCCCCTTAAAAGCCTGGCCTGGTGGTGCACACCTATCATTCCAGCTACTCAGGAGGCTGAAGCAGGAGCATTGCAATTCTGAGTCCAGCCTATGCAACCTAAAGTGACCCTGTCTCCAAACAAAATAAACAGAAGGCAGGGAAAATAAAAAGAGGCCAGGGAATATAGCTGGCCTGCATTCCGTACTAGAGTACTGCCCTAGCTTGGATGAGGCCTGTACTTCAGTACCTCCACCTCTGAAAAAAAGAATATGTTAACATTCTGTATTAAGCTTTTTGAAACAAAAATCCCAACTAGTGTACCTCTAGTTTAGGATAACTTTAGATACTGTAGCAAAATTACAGTCCATGAAAGAAAGGCTCGATCACTCGGACCTCACTAAAATCTAAATATTCCACCTTGCAAAAACACTATTAAAAGAATGAAAGGACAAGCCACAGACTGGAAGAAAACATTTACAAAACAGACATCTGATAAAGGACTATTATCCAAATTGCACAAAGAACAACTAACACTTAATAAGAAATCAAACAAAACAATTTTAAAATGGGTGAAAGACCTGAACAGATGCCTCCCTAGAAAAGACTGCACAGACGGAAAGCAAATGTACTAAAATGCGCTCCACAGCACCAGCCGTCAGGGACGTGCACATCTGAACAGCGAGAAGCCCCTCGCACGTGCGGAAAACCAAGCGCCGCACACTGACAACCCAGGGCTGGCGAGGGCAGGGACCAACAGGGGTCTCCCTCGTTGCTGGTGGGAAGGCAGGATGGTGGGACCACTCTGGAGGACAGTTCAGCAGCTTCTTATGAAACTGAACATGCTCCTCCTATAACCGTTGAGTAAAATATTCCACAGGAGGTGAAAGTCCACGCCCACACACAGACCTACACAGGGATGTCTATGGCCGCTTCGTTCCTAACGCCAGTGCTCGGAAGCAGCCTCCGTATCCTCCAGCAGGTAAATGGATAAACTGGCACGTTCAGTCAGGGAAATATTATACAGCAATGAGCTATCGTGTAAACTGCCAAGTAAAAGCCGCTGTCTTGGTTACTTTTCTCTCGTTGTTGAGACAAAATATCCAACGCCCAAAATGAAAGAAGGAAAGGTTTATTTAGCTTACAGTTTGTGGAGGTTTCAGTCCATACTTGGCTGGCTCTGAGGCAGAAGACAGCAAAGCAACAAGAGCAAAGGGGGGAATGGCAGCCAAGCAGCAAGGCAGCCAAAGCAAAAAGAGGAATGGCGG